CTGTGTGTGTTCCTTTTTTTAATGAATGGGAAGTGTTTATATATGTGAAACAGATTTGTTAGCTCAGTAGATCCATGTGGAGACTGCAGTCTCTCCGACTTATTAGATATATCTGCTGGTGGTCTTTAACATAGTAATAGTGTTTCCAAAATAAGAACTTGGAAAGAGTTGGCCATGACTCCAACAAAAACCTGAACATTTGACTGACTTCTGATGCTCTTTTGTTTGGATAAAAGTGCTTACTTCTTGGATTTCCAAAAAGATTTACTTATTGTATGTTTACTGTACCACATTTAGTGTTGATTCACGATGTAGCATATCAAGCGGCAACTTTGTTGTAGCTTTGCTAATCCACTAAAATGAAATGAGAATCGATTCTAATCCTTTAGTACTTTCATGTCTACACTCTTAACAGTGAATTAACCATGCAGGTCAGAGCAATTAACAGAATTTAACAAGTTGACGGACAAATGAAAGTTGGTGGTCATCTTTTTTATCGTCTTCACATTCATCGTCTTTCCTATGGTACCTTGCTTACCCCTCCCAGGTGTTTATGGTAGTAACCTTCTGTTATCAATGAGATTCATGTCCTAAACTTGAACACATTCATCATCTCGCTCGAAGGTTATCCAGAGCAACCATGTTGTATGTTAACTGAACAGGATATCTGTTACCAAATATGTCTATGCAACTCAGACAATTTTACAGTGATCATGATTTTGGTATTTACTGAGACCTCTTGTAAAATGTAGTTTCTGAAACAAGGTTGTATCAATTCACTTGTAATATTGAAGATTGAATCTCACAGAAGTTGACATATTAACAAAAATTGATGTCAGAAGCTACTACTTTTTAGTATATAGAAAGTTTCATCTTTATTCTTCTTTCCTCAAGAGTCACAGATAAAATGCAGTCTTTAATAGTATGTTACTTCTTCGAAAGGAGTTGTGTTAGCTTCAGTCACTTGAATTTTCGATACTCTTTTTTATTTCTCATAAATGAATGACATTTTCTTCTGGAAAATTTACCTCACCTCTAAGGTAAAGGCAGTATGCGTACACTCTATACTTCCTAGACCACTACACTGAGTATGTTGTTATTGATATTGTACTTCTCATTAAATGAACGACATTTTCTTCTGGAACAAGATATTGAGAAATCTCAATGTTATTATTCGTCTATAGTTCAAATCGAATACGTAGTTATTGAAATAATTGTTGGAGACTCAAATAATGGATATGTAAGCATAATAATTTGATAATATAACTTACAGGTCAAATAGAATATGTAGTTATTGAAATAATTGTTGGAGACTCGAATAATGGATATGTAAACATGATAATTTAATAACATAACTTATAGACCTCTTCTAATTCTCCCCCACCCCTAGCACCCCCCTCACAACTCACCCTCTCCACCATCTTTCTAAATTATATATAAATGTTTTTTGACAATATTTTTTTTTTACTTACCATTTAATAAATTAAAAAAAAATCATTTCATCTTCTGAAAAAACATATTCCTCCCCACCAAACTTGATCTTACCTTTTACCATCTTAATTTTTGAAATTTCCATTCAGTTATGCTAGAAACTTTTACTCTGTCAAACTCAATATAATAATTTATTCAAACATTTGCTCATAATTAAAATCAGCCGCCAAAGCCAAATTGCTTCTACTTTATTTTAGGATATACAGTAATGTTATTTTTGGAAGATAGCAGTGAGATTCAGATTTCCTCCATATCAAATAATCAACTTATATTGCATGATAGAAGGTAGTAGACCAATAAAATAGTCGAGGTGTGCACAAGAGCTGAGGTAGAAGTCTGGCAGGTTATCGTTATGAGTTTGATCAAATTCCATAACTTTTGTTCAAATAATTTATCCATTTATATCGAAATTTTCTATTAAATACGTACACATATTAAAGTTAGAACTCAAATTTCATATAGCGCACAAGCTAGTCTGAACACAAAACTGATTCTTGTTACAAATTAGTGTACACATCAGCTTGGTAAATAGGACAACACATTCCAAAAATAGAGATAACGTACCGTACATATCCTTTGCTCTTTTATTAAGTTGCCATTTTACAGACATTGCTGACCAAACTTTTGAGTGTTTTAAACAATTTTATTACTTTAAGTTAGGATGACTTAATTAATGTCTAATTTACTAGATTAAGTAACAAACTCCCCTCCCCTAGTATATTAACTTGGGCTACCCTTTTTTTTAATTATAAATTCAATAGTTGGTGAAAAAAAAAGTAGTTGCAAAATTTGACCCAATATTGTATTTACGATACATAGCGCTATAATTTTTAAATGTTATGAAACGTAGATGCATTTTGGATTTTGTAGCAAATACATAATAGACATACATATTAATACAATATGTTTTGGTACAACTATTTTGCGCGATTTCAACTAATACAATTGATATTTGTTTTAATACAACTTTTTTGCTAATACAATTGATACAATTCTTTTGCTTGATATAATAATTATAGCTATATTTTGTAAATATAGAAATTAAAACTATATTTCGTAATCAAGCTCTAAACTATAGCTATTTATCATTTTTTGTTCTTTAATTACTTTATCCCTTTTACATTTTCAAAGCATCAACCTATTAAGGATAAGTTGGGGTATTTAACAAATGAAAATAGTTCCAATCATCACTAGCAATATTGTCAATGATGATTCATTTAATTAATCTCAATTTACTTTATAACAAGACAATTATTATTATTGTTGTTGTTATTCTTGTGTCAGCTATGCAAATTGCGTGGATTGCACCCAGACATGACATCATTGTATTATTTTTGCTGTGTTTATTTTAATTTAAACCAAATTAAGTATTCTTTATTTATTTTTTATATTACCAACAATAACATATATATAGATACCAAAAATGTCATTATTAGTTAAGGGTCAAGCCTAAACTGAAAAGCATCTAACAAATATATTGATTTGGCCTTTTGCTACAATTTGATTCTTTTTGAATCTTTTACACTGTGTGTGATGCAACACCATATAATTTGTCCCCTCTTGTGCACGCTATCATGTCATTGGTCTGATATTAGACGAATCTAGCTTGTAATCTATAAATTCACGTCAATTTAATAAATTTTAAGTATATTTCAATATATATTAAGAAATTTATTAGATATGAGTGTAATTATTGAGATCATTATAAGAATACATAAATAAATATTAAATTTTGTATTCGTCTGTGATATTAATGATTCTCAAACAAACTATGGCATATAAATTTGTTTTTCGTGTGATATTTGCCACTTTTATTTGATAATATTGTTCTCGATTAGAATATCAGTCTGATCATTCAATTAATAGTCTTGTAGCTATGACTTTGTCCCTTCTCCTTAAATAAAATCGAAACCAAGTGTTATATTAATTATGTCAAACATAGACTTAGAGGTTTTTACTAGGCAGGGGACAGAATAAAAGTCTCACTACTAATTTTTAATTTTAAGTAGGTAGCCGTGATTAAGAATAAATGTTATATTATAGATTTGCATCATCTCATAATGAGAATTAATTACACACTAATTATTTACTTAAAGAATAGTGATTGACTCACAAAAAAATAATCATTGTCAGTAAACAACAAAAATATATAAGATTAAGGTAATGAAGGTTTAGCATTTTTGTATATTTGATTATTAATTGTCTCTTGAGAGGGTTTAAGAGTCACTCGAGTGTTAATTTCCCACATCAAATTAAGATACATCATCAATAATATATTTAGGTAATTCGATAAATGGGATTTAAAAAAAGTGATGGATATGTTGTCTTATTCTTACCTCTAAAGATAAAGAAGTTATTTTCGATAAATATCAATCAAGATACAAACATTAAAAAATGACAGATTTCAAACTTCAATAAAGAGAGTTAAAACTAGGTTTACAAAGCCAAATATAAATGTAATGATTTGTTTTAATCATAAACTTACTTGAGTTACTAATTTGGATTCAATACTAATTTACTAGACTAATTTGAATTCAATACCAATTAACTTGACTAATTCGAATTCAATACTAATTTAACTTTGATATATTTGGATTCAATATTTATTTGATCCTACTAATTTGAATTCAACCCCGAGAAAGCTCATTTAAAGGTAAAAGTTTTCCACCACGTGTTTGATGACTTCTAATGAATCAATGATAGAATGAATATTTTTTAAATTTGTATCATCTTTTACGGCTTAGAATAAATTTTCTATTTTTTATTAGCTTGACAAGTACAATAAGATTTTTGAGACATTGTAGTACTATTTGGTTGTATAACAATGAATTATAGAAATTTGAACAGAGCAACATGATTAATTTCTGATTAATGGATAGATTTAATTCCAACATTGTGTACCTTAAATAGTGTATTAGATCCAATATTATTGGAAGCTATTTTACCTTCTCATTCAAAGAAAGATTAAGTTAGTATTTGATCATAAATTAAGGATCAAATGTTTTATCATAAAATTTGACCGGTTTATAAAATTATAATTTTCAAATATTTTCAAATTCCTAAAAATGAGTATTTTCAGATTATTTTTTTTACTTTCACTCACATTAAAAGCTATTTCAGCTTCTCATTCATAGAGATATTTACTAAACTAACATTTAGCCATAAACTTTGAAGATCTATCTATAAATAAATGTTTGACCATTAAATTTGACTAGATTTGGTCTTCAAATATTTTCACATTCCAAAAAACTAATCTGAAAAAACTCGGAAATTTCACAACTTTAAACTTTTTCCAAATAAAATACATATCCGAGTAAGGAGTGTGCAAAAATCGAACCGAAAAAAATGTTATTGGCTTACTATTAAGTTATTGGGTTAACGGATTTTTAATGGTTTTATAAAAAAAATATTGGGTTATCGATTTGGTATTGATATTTAATATTGAGTAAACTGAAAATCAATATGTTACATAAAATCGAATCGAACCGAAAAATCCAACACCAAATCCATAAACATAAAAATTGTAGTTTCATATGCAGCAAATGAAGTCAATAATTACAAATCAGATCAAATCATTTGCTTTTGCAATTTTGCAGAAAGACAGAAAAACAATCTGTCAAACATTCAGCATCAACATCTATGATCTAATAATAACAAACTTATTTTCAGCAGCAGATCATTTAACCCTTAATTAATCATCATAACTTCTTCCTAATTAATTATAAACTTCAAAAATCAAACCCAAATTTTCAATGGTTAACAACATTGACTGGAAGAGCTGAAGGAACAGGAAGATTTTTGTTGCAACAACAAGAATTAGGGTTAGAAGAAATGAAAATCCCAATTTGCTCCAAAAATGTTAAATGTTGTGGCCTATCTTTACGCTTCACATACCCTTTTGCCTCTTTCTCTGTATAACATCTGAAACCCTTCTCCCCGTTTCTCTTCCACAGCGCCTCCGCGTAGTTTCTGTGTGCATAATACGCTTCCACCTCCATTGTCTTCCCCGATTCTGATTCTTCATCTTCATCGGCCCGGATTTTGATTGGAAGCCTCTCGTAATGGGCCCGGGTAATTCCTTCTAATTCATCCATACGGATCAATCCGCGAGCGGAAACGGCGTAAAGCTCGCCGCGGACGTGCTCGCCGGAGCCGGGAAAATTGAGGAGGAAGGGAACACGGTAAGGACCACAGACGAGAGGGAGACGATCGACGGTTTGGTAAACGCCGAGGAAAGAAGCATCGCCGGCGGCTATCATGTCTTGTAAGAGAACGTGATTTGAAAATCCTCTTTTGAGTGTTCCATAGGTGAAAATAATGGTGGGTTTCTCTGTACCTTCAGTCACCATTGTTACTAAAAGTTCAGAGAAATATCAAAAATTGAAAATTGAAAGCCAAAAAAAAAAACAGAGGAAGAAGAAGATGAAGAGGAAATTGAGGAGAAGAGTTGTTTGGTTTAGGAGAATAAAAAGAGCAGAGGAAAGGGGCCCACTAAAAGTAAAAAAATAATAAAAATTAATTAATTAATATGTGAAGAATAATAAAAGAAAAAAAATGTGAACTATGAAATTTTGACCATCTATAGTGAGTAGTGACCACCACCATCCAATATTCATAAAAAAAGAAAAAAAAATTGGATGGTTGTGAGAGAAACAATGGGGAATTGAAAATTTTGAGGGTGGAGAAGAGTCCTAACAATATCAAATTCTACACCATCAATCATTTATTTATTTATTTATTTATCTACAATAATTTTATGTATTTATTTATACTCCACGATTGTTTTTTGATTGTTATAATTTTCTTTTTAAAAGTATTTTTCATCATATTTCTACATAGTTTTTGAATAAATGAAATTTTATTTTAAAATATTGAGTTAATGTAATCTAATTTAGCTTTGAAAATTAGTCAAATTGATGTCGAAAAATACAACATGACAACTAAAAAGGAATGGATGAAGTATTTCATATATGATGCATGTGACGAGTGTTACTTGTTCAGTTTTATATAAGTTTAAATATTTATTTGTGTATATCCAAAATTTAAGGTCATAAATATCAAATAAAATTAAGTTAAAGTGCATATTTATATATTTTATCGCTTAAATATATGTAGCAAGTTTAGGCTTAAGTTTGTCATGATATTTACTTTAGATACTTGAATTAAATTTTGTTTTAATTGAACACACCTCAATTGTTAATAAAGTATTTTAATTATATACTTTTGATTCAAATTTTAAAGAACATATTAATTGTATTTTCATTAAATAGTTAACTTAATCACATAAACTATGTCATTTTCGTAATTATACCGTATCAACCTTACTGACCACTAAATCACATTCTTGAATACATAAATAAACCTTAAAACACGCGAATTCAAATTTAACTCTTACCCCAAAGTATTTATTAATCATCTCACAATGTGATATACTAGGAGTTAACGAATAATAAAATATATGATAAGGACCTAGTCTTTTTTTTGTTTTAAGATTGATTTTCCCTATGTGTTTTTGGACCTTGGAATTCGGAGATTTTTAATGGCTAAAATTCAGGTAAAATAGACAAATTATTCATGTTCACATCTTTAAATCTTAATTATTCATCTGATTTTACAGATTTTCAGGATCTTAATAAACAATTCGATTTAGGAAAAATCCAAGTAAGTTACAAAAGTTAACTTTTATTAAAATGTTTTTGTAGGTTCGAATTATCGCGCTTTTGATTCAGTCGATTTTGAAAAGACCAATTAATTTTGAATGCTTTTTAATATTAGTTGATCGGATCTTCATTTACTCTTGTCTAAGTTTTATTCTGATCAAATTTTAATTTTAATTTTTGTGATATTTCGTTGAGTATGCTAAAATTTTAATTAATTAAAATGTGTATTTTAAATCTTTTTAACATAAGAAATATATTATATTTACTCCTACGTACAAAAATTCATGATAAAATTACGTGTACTAGATCTTTATAGTTCAATCCTTCTACGAGACACACGCATAGCAAGGGCTTAGTATATCAACCTTCATATTTTTTCTCTAAAATTATATTACTCTAAAATATATTATAATAATACAAATTTAATATTTAAGTCCTAAATTATTTTTAAAAGATGATTTAATTTGCACATATTAGTTATTCCTTTATTTCACTTTTATTTGACTCATTTCGTTTTACGAGAACTAATTTGGCTAATTCTTACTTCCTCCATTTCAAATTAATTAAATTATTAAGGTATTTCACACCCTTTAAGAAAAGAAAATTAAGACATAAATTAAGCATAACTTTCCATTTTTACCTTATTTTAATTAATGTTTAACATTATTGTCAATTTTATGATTTAAATAACTAAACATTAATTAATAACTAATTCCAATACTAACTAATGAAGGGTAAAATTGGAAGACATTCTAAAAATAGTCTTGAAAATTGAACAATTAAGCTAATTTGAAAATGAAAAATGTCTCAACAATTCAATTAATATGAAATGGAGAGAGTAAAACTTAATTAAATTAGATTAAATTCAATATTTCAAATGTAGATGTTCAAAAACTATACTAAAATAATTATAATTTGATTTTTTCATATTAATATGTTGAAAATATTTTTTATAATATTATTCAAAGTTCATGTAATTTAACTAATGAAAAACTTAACATGACAAGTAAAACTAAATGGAAGCAGTAATTAATTGTTAAATCAAATAGATCAAAATAAAATTTATGTCCCTTCGATGATATCCAATAAAATCAACAATATTTGTTAAAGTTTGATGAAATACCCATCATTAGAGGTAAGCCCTCGATTTGCAAACTTAATCCTCCCTCTCTAGTATAATCATAAGTATAAGTAGTAGTACAAGTTATTTCCTAGAAAATACAAAACTTTATTAAAGAAAAGGACAAATGTGAAAAAAATAAAATTATTTTAAACTTTGAAAAATTAAATTATTTTGAACGATGAAAAAAACATAAAAATTCACTTAGGGCATCTCCAACCCAAACACTAAATTTGGTGTCAGCACTATTTGAGTGTAAATCAACTCCAATCCACTGCACCAAATTTTACATCAAAAAGAAATATTTTTCTCTTTCTTTATTATATTATTATTATTTCTTATATCATTGATATTCTCTTATTCATAAAACAAATTCTTTCTAAAACATTCACCATATATAATTCATATTATTTTCTTTTATAGTCGTTTAATTTATGTCCAATTATAGTTTATAGTAGAACTAACATAAATTTAACTTTTAAAAAAAAGTCATATATAGAAAAATTAATTTATAAAAAAGCTAACTTTTATATCTAAAATTAATATTATAAAATTAATTAAATATACAAGAGATTTAATTAAAACATACCATTTATATAATATTTAATTAAAAGTTTTTATAATAAAATAATATTAAAATATTCAATAAAGTGAATTGGTGTGATAAAATATTCCATATTGCCCGCTATATCCACCTACTATATGTAAAGTTGGAAGATTTGCTTTCTGAAACATGTGCTCACAACATTATTATTATATTTTTTTATACATATATATATATATATTTTTTTTTTAAAAACAAGGAATCTTGTGAGGGGCAGCTGTCTCTGCCGAGAATGGGCTGTTGGGGTACGGCAATAAAAAAAAATCATTCTGTCAGTCATATTTTGGTTATTCATACTCGCACGGCTTTTGTACTTTTAGTAGTACCCTATTCTTTTGCCTCTTTTTACTTTTTCCCCTACCTTTTTCGAACACACAAATTATTAGTTTTATTTTTAAATTGTTGAAAGTCTTAAAAATATTTTTATATTTGACTATATATTTCACTCATGTTATAAGATTGATGGTGTATTTAATTTTAGTTAGTCAAGTAAGGCTGTCATAGTTCAGAAATGAAACTAATAATTCATGCCGAATTTATGAGTGTTTTCAATACTTATCTCATATTTAATTCTTAAAATTAAATTTAGTATAATATTATTTTTTAAAGTGGAATAATTAATATAAATATTATAATTTTAGAATAATTTAATTCGCGTATGAAAGTTTTCTTTGTGGAGGATAATAATTTTAAAATATTTTATAAAATTATTTATTAAAGATTAGTATTATTTAGTTCCTAAATTATTTTATTCAAATATTTTAATATAAATAATTTCATAAAATATTTCAACTGCATTATCTATCCATCTCCCCTTGCTACTTTTTTTCTGTCACCCACCATTATTGCTTTTCAAACCTCAAAAGTGTGTGAAAAGATAGTGAGCTTATCAAATTGGACAACTCAATATATTCCTTCTATGTTTTTGTTTTTTTTTATTACTTTTATTTATTTATTTTACTCCCGTCACTTTAAATTTTGCATGCTTTTAAAAAAAAAAAAATACCCTTTCTATTAGTATCTGAATTTGTGAGAGAATACACACTTATTAAGAAAAACATTTAAGGATATAATTTAAATCATATTTTTCACTATTGTCATTTGTGAAATCATAAAGGTAACTATATAAGTAATGCAATTTGTCTCCTACAAAATATCAAACTTCATTAAAAGAAAAGACAAATATAAAAAAATAAATTCAAACGTTCATATGAAACTTTGAACAATTCAATTATTTGAACAACGAAAAAAATTTCAAAAATTGAATTAATATGAAACCGAGGGAATAATCAATATGAATATTTTAGTATAAATAACTAACACAAACTAAATTAGGAAAAAAGTTTATTTTTAAAATATATTAAGAAGTGATAAATAAAAGTGAGCGGAAGGAGTAGCTTCCTAAATTAAGCAAAACAGTTGCACTAAAGATTGGTGTCTCATATTGATACTTGTACCAATATTTACGTTTTAGATAAAAAAATAATAATATATTTTCCTCTTTTTTAAACTATGTATTTAAAACTATATATTCAGTTAAATAGGAGCACATGAAAAGATATGAAGCGAGTCCTATTTAAATATTAATAATATAAAAGATTAAATCGTACAAGTAGATTTTGGAGATCCCATTACTACTACAATCTGTAAAGATAATTGATACACTAAAGCTTTGATAGAAAGTATGAGATATGAGATAATATCTCAAAAGATCACTCAATTTTGAGAATTTTTCTAGCAAAGTCATTAAACTTTGTTTGAGAAAATGGCCAAAAATCCCCCTAATCTATATCCGGATTTTGAACTACACACTTTAACTTTGCGGGAGTCCTATCACTCACCTGAACTGTTTAAAATTGAAATAATTACACCCTTAAAAAGCCACAACCCCATCTATGTTGAACTGTGAACTTCACGTGTTTGACATGTGGAAATTTGATTAATTTATTATTTTTTCAATTTTTTTATAATTCCTTTCCACTTTCTCCTATACTTTTTCAAAGAGATTTATCTCTATGATGCCGGCCAGTCAAGAAATACTAAAATAAGAACACATAAGTGACTTAAAACGATCATAAATTAATTCAAAACCATTGATACTCAACAATCATTCATAACTACAACCCCAGAATAAGGGAATTTAGCCACTCATAATATTCAAAAACTCAAAATAGTATTGTTCATGTGATTCGCAATTAAAGAGAGAGTTAGAGAATTGAAACCTAATACAATGTGTTAATCTTTGCTCTTGCACACCAAAAAGAAGTCGAACCCCCAAAAAATAACCCTAGGGTCCCTATTTATAGAGTATAGGAAAATAATTTTCAATTCTAGCCCAAGGAGGAATCCTAATTAAATCAAATTTCACCAGGCACGTTGGTCAGGGGCAGGCGCATCGCGCCAAGCTTTTTCTGGGCGTCGCTTTGTCGTCCTTGCTTCCTTTGCTCTCCTTACTCAATCACTTCTTTTAGGAACCCTGCAAAATAGTTAATCATGTACATTAGTATGCAATCATCGCAATCCTAAGTTAAAACATGTCAATTAGACCAGTGAATGTTCTTAAACTCACGTTAAAGACGGGTAATTCGCAATAATTGGGCATATAAATATGCCCAAGATTAGTATTCTCGCAAATAATTATGTAACACTGCACAAGCTATGACAATTTTCACTTGTGTGTTAATATCATAATGGTTCATGCCTTGTTTCACTTGTGTGCAAGTACACATTTTTAGTGCATTAATTTGGTGCTAAATTCAAACATATTGAAAGTAGTGATTATCAAACATACATCACCTAATTTTTTCTTTTTCATAATAAATTGCTTTAAACATTTTCATATATATGTAGCAGAAACAAAAGTTTTTTTATTATTATGAAAAGCCATCCCTCCGTTCTTATTTATATTCACCAAATCAATTCCTACTTTATCATTTATATTTACCAAATTTAAAGTAATAATAAATTTTATGTTGGTGAGAATAATAAATTTTAAAAAGTAATGATATGGTTATAATTTTATTTACATATGAAATAAATGGTTAGTAGATATAAATGTGGGGTTGTTTTAACAAAATATAAACTTGTGGGTCATTTTTGCATTTAAAAAATCTCACATCATGATATGAAATTCTCAAATCATGATTTCTTAAAAAAAATATGGGATTCCATTTTATGATATGAAATCATGAGATGGAATCAGCATGAAATCGCATGTCCAAACGTTGATTCCATCTCACAATTTCATATCGTAATATGGTATAGCCAAACACCTACTTACACAAAGAATGGTGTCCCATTTCGTTAGGAAGAAAAAAAAATATTTTTATAAATAAATGGATACTTTTAATATGTAAATTAAAAATATTTATATATAATTTAATTAAATACTGTTAGAGTTAGGGATAAGAGATAGGGGTGTGGCCGTCTAGGGTGGTGAGAATGGGAGTTAAGGGAGTAGGGGTAAAATTACCTAAAATTTTAAGGGAAAAAGGACAAATATACCCCTAAACTATCGTAAATGATATGCAGATACCCTCTATCATACTTTTGGGACATTGGTGTCCCTGCCGTCCAAAAAACTAGAGCACATATACCCTTTATACTAACAGATATATACGTGTCATAATCTTATCCACTAACCCGACAATTATTCGGGTCAGTGGATAAGATTATGACACGTATATATCTGTTAGTATAAAGGGTATATGTGCTCTAGTTTTTGGACGGCAGGGGCACCAATGTCCCAAAAATATGACGGAGGGTACCTGCATACCATTTACAATAGTTCGGAGGTATATTTGTCCTTTTTCCCAAATTTTAAATATGTGCGTTAGAAATTTTTTGCTAAAAATAATAATTTTATTTTTTTGAATTTCAAATCCATTATAAATAAGTTCAAATTAAAATATAACTTTCATGTATCATAAAGAACAACATTCAAATAAATTTAACAGATTCCTTTAACACTTATATATGTCTACACTTAACTATACATGATTGAAACACTTGTTAAAAATGAGCAAAATTTCAATCATATATAACTAAATATGAAGAAGAAAAAGAAATTGTTAAAATTATTTAGGCTTAAGTCATCTACAACCACTTAAAGTTGTCCTCATATTTCACTTAAACACCTCAATTAAGGGGTGTACCTATTGAACACCTCTCTTGTTCAAAACATGTACATATTACATACTTTTTAATGATGTGGCATCGTAGGTGTAATACATGCCTCAGAAGCGCGTGAAACCAATACAATTTACTTACAAGCCAATCAAAAATTACATGTCAACATTTCAAAAGTGGAGCAAAAGTCTGAGCATGAAAAAAATATTTCCAACAATATCTTCTTCCCCAATTCCAAACCACCGTCTTTTGCATTTTCCTCACCGGCTAAATCCTTTAGCCAACGTCTCCGCCACACCCCTTTCTGTATTCATCTTTATTTTTCCTTTCTACTGTCATCCGTCATCACCAATATCGTCGTCTTTATCTTAATCGGAAAAGTGTCCATTAAACAAATGACCGTCAAAATCAAAAAATTCAAAAGAGAGTTAAATGATACAAAAAAAATAAAAATTTAACCTTATAAACAGTAGAAAAATTCAAGAGAGTTAAAGCTACAGAAGGAAATATAATAATAATAATAATAATAATAATAATAATAAAAATCTGATTGAGTCAAAATAATCCGGTGAGCATCCATTTTTTTCAACAAGACTAATACAAATCTAAATTTATTTTCTTTGAAATTGTTAAAGAATTCAAATCCTAAAAAATCCACAGCACAAAAAAATATCAACAAATCTTAAATGATGTATGTAGAAGAGAGTGAGATCAGAGAAATGGCAGCTATGGTATTGATAAAAAAATTGCCAAATGGGAATAAAAGGAAGAGGGTAGGTAGCAGCTATGGTGTTGATGAGAGAAATATGGGGAAGATACTTGCCGCTCGTTATCGGGCTATGGTGTTCCGGCGGACTAGTTCTGCCGAAAAGGGATATGGGTAGATAGGGTTGATTTTTGTTTTTATATTATTTTTTACCTTAAAATACTTTTTATAAGATATTTTTAAATAATTTTTTGAAACTAAATGACATGTCAAAGTTTAATTTGTCATTGTGCCACGTCACTGCGAGTGAATCTCACACATTTTAAATTTTTGGCTGATTGTCAAAAAAATGCCAAATAGGTATCAATTCAACGTGGTAAAGGTATTCAATAGGTACAAGCCTTAGTTGAGGTGTTCAAATGAATTATGCGGACAACTTTAAGTGGGTGGATGACTTAAGCCAATTATTTAATACTGAATATTCATAAATAAAAAAATATAAAACAGTTTTTTTTTTTAAAATGAAGCAACCAAAATGAAAATTTTACATAACAAAAAGTAGAAGCCCCACATAGTTACGTCAAGAAGCCCAACTTGTTGAAGTAGCAATCACACACATCAGCTTCAAGGCACCGTTTGATGACGACGAAAAGCGAAACATGATAACTAATTTAAGATACAGAGTAACTATTCTATTACAATTATAATATTTTTTTCTAGTTTGTAAAAATATAATTTATTTTTATATTTAAAAATAATTTTATTTAATTTTTAAATTTTACTATTAATAAGATGATTTATATTTGTACCAATATTTATGTTTTAGATCAAAATTTTCAAAAGTATTTCTCATTTTTAAAATCGTTTATTCAGTCAAACACCACCACACATGATTAGTTACATATACAAAGTTCAGTATTTGAGAATAGTAGGACTAATAAATGATTGAATCATACAAGTAGATGTTGTAATTGATTTTAAATTAAGGTTACAACACTAAAAGGCTCGTTTGGTTTGAGAACAAGTTATTCCACGATTGTTATTCCGTAATTTATTCCAAACAAATATAGAATGAACTATCAATATCCCTCATTCCTCCTACCAAACGAACGATATAAACTCCTGTTCATTTCTTGGTAGATAGATTTACCATGCACTTGTGCTTGTTGTAGTAGATACTTCCATTGAATTACTCGAAATGGATGTAAAATGATCCAAATACTACCATAAACTAAAAGGATAGTCTGGTGTACTAAAGCTCCCGATATGCACAAAATCCGAGGAAGGACTGAACCACATTACTGCAATCTGAAAAGGGGAAAAATATACAGATACAGATTATCTTGGAGCATTGGACAAGATTTGCCTCATCTCTTCTACACTTGCATTGTACAGATTTTTCACTTGGCAATGCATATCACATAATTAAATTCAAGAGGCTGGACTACAACAAAGATTTTCGCGTTTTCGCTCCTTTTCTTCCAAACAAGGATGGTAGAATACATAGAGCAACACATGCTAACAAGCAGGTGTTTTATTTGTAGCTCGAAAACAACAGTAGGTGTGGCTCCATTGCAGTTCAAAGCAATATAAAAGAACTCAAATTCCTTTTGATGCCTATATATACCTGCCTCGAGAACAAGATTATCTTTATAAACGGATAATAGTCAGCAAACACGACTTCTTTCACTCGATGTCATCAATCCAGTCACCATATATCTTACTAATCTTTTCTGGCCCTTTCCATTTCTGAATGACCCTTTTGCCAGTCCTCTGGACTATGCCAGAGGGCCTTTGCACTTGAACGCCCGGCCCCAAATGGTAAACATCTGTATGAGGTGCTGAAATGGTCGAGGGTACCGTACTTTCTGCTGTTTTAAAAGGACCCCCTCCCTGCTTTAAGTCTGGAGGAGTCGATAGAGAATCTGTGCCCTCCATATCCACAAGTCCTCCCCCATATTTGTGCAATTCTGCCAGATAAATAGCTGATATTAGCACCAGATCAAATATACAAATAGAATTAGGGAAAAACAAATCGATAGGGTGAGTGGAATATCGAGGACATCTTTAGAAATGAATATGAAGTTGAAAATCCAAATAATTTTGAGAAACAATATCTAAAATTGGCAAAGCATCAAGTCATCTACAAGTATTACGCTCTGGTGATGTAAGGTTATATTGATGCAGAATTTCCGGCTATAAACAATTAGTTTATACAGGTCTCCCTACACTAAAATCAAAGACAGTTCCAAGTATACAAAGTCAAGTCAACATTCGATTGCCTCCCCGTGCTTCATAACTCATATGATTCCTTCAGCACTGCTAGTCCAATGACAGATTATTTTATAATGACATACTCTCCCTGTTACACAAAACACAACCATACTATCTTCAGTATGAAAACTTTGACACCATATATATACATCTGATTACAGTACCTCTTTTGTTTAAATTGGAATCTAATTTAGTAAATGCAAAGCTACATTCTCTCTAGTTTAGTTCTGCAATCCAAAATACCTTCAAGACTTAAACTGTGAGTTGGAGTAACAACTTTGAGAACCAAGCTAATTCCAGCAAAGACACTGCTAGTAAATTTTTCACAACCGTTAAGACAATAAATTAAATGAGCAAGTTTAGTTATAAACTGAAGTAATCAAGAATTAGCAAAGCTATAGCCAGTTGATATGGCAACAGGAGCTTGAAAGATGACTGAGAGCAAAATAACTAAATCATAATAGCTACTTATTGCAAATAACAAAATGGCAACAGTGATGTACACAAAAAAGATTGCTCAGGCGGCATGCTATGCATCCACATCAAGTACGAGTCAGTTTTGCTGTGTGCCGTTCATATCTCCTTTCAGCCCCCCTGCCCTTCTTTGCTCTCTCCATAGGACCATAACAGAACATTCATATTTTCCATTTAGTTAATATCACATAGTTGGAGGTGGATCTTTCCCCAGGTTGCAGAGGGATTTTTAAGACAAATTAAGAATTATCTAAAACTGAAGATTCTCTAATCTCACATTTGTTTGCTAGACTGACATATGAATTCTCGAAACAAACCAAATAAATTTTCTCAGCAAAAGCTGAACCTAATGTAAATATACCAGCATGACTTAAAGTGTTAATCCATAATTTCAAATAGATGGTATCGCCTGCCAGGATATTTCATATATCACTTCTGGTGTGCTAATTGCTATGTCTTTCATTATATCAGAATGGAAACAATTTACGAAGTACTGTAGGTTTCTTTAGACAACTTCTCTCCATGCGAGTATAGATCTTTGTCCACCTTTTGTTTATGAGTAAAGATAGACCTTTATCCTCTTTTAACACCTACAATCATCATAGTGTAATGTTACACCTGATCAATGCAATTGGAGGTCTACGTAGAACATGACTAAACCATGCCAACCGATTCTCTCATATTTTTATATTTCAATAAATCAAGAACAGTCATCCCTCGATTTATAATCTATATGTACTACATGTACCTTTTGTCAGATGTGATTATTTCTGATCTTGTACAAAGCACGTCCATCTTAACATTTGTATGCTTATGACACTCAAATAGTGTGATGCGCATTTTTACCTAAACCAAAATTTAACCAAGTATATATATGCAGAGAAAAATAGATATAAAATGCACTAACTAGCAACACTCACTATAAACAGTAAAATCACATCTCCTATACCAACAACAATAAGCAAAAACCACATTCATACCTGCCGCTCCATGTGCAAAATGACACTTGCTGCCGAAAGGGCAATAACCAGTGGTTTCCCACTTATTACAAATTCTTGTTTTCCAGTTTGAAGGCTTCAGGTTTGCTCCAGCAGCATTATTACCGAATCCACCTATAGTGGGAGTCACACTTATTGCAACACTCTCTCTAGCTCGATATTGTTCATCGTGAAGGAAAGTGCAAGTATCTCCATAAGGACATCCTTCTTCCGTATAAAACTTCTTGCAATGCCTCCCTTTATAGGACCTTTGGGACTCCGCACACAGCTCAGGAGAACTAGCAGTTGGTATCTGATGTTCTTCTCTCGGTTCCAGCATCACTCCTCCAGCACACTCACTCTCATGTGCAGCCACTATATCTTGCCAATTAGGAGGCGGCTTGCGCAGCTCCTCTATTCCATGAGCAAAGTTACAATTAGTAATATAAGGGCAAACCCCAGCGCGGAACTTGCAACACAATTTAGTTTTGAAGAACATCTTTCCAATTGCTTTAGCGCGATTATTAACTGATTCTACCCCCTGCAAGTTCCGTAATTTCTTGTGTGGAGGCTCACTCTCGGATCGGTCTAGGGAATGTCTACCATCCTGATTCGAATTCGAAGGGGTCTCGGAGGAGAGCCCAGCATTCCAGGCTCTATAATCATCCTCAGTAGCCCAAACTTCCTGATCAGGAAAACCAGAACCCCAATTGTCAAAGCCACTAACATCACTCCCTCCAGCAAAACTGACTTCTCCCATGAAATCCATGAAGAACCAAAGCTCCCAGACAAATATTCTCAAAACCACCAAAACAAATATACTATAGAGTGATTCAACATACAAAAACAAGCAACCCCAGATCACGAGCAACAAGATTTAACTCTCCCAACCAAAAAATAAAAGAACTAAAAGATCAAGATAAGAATAACAACTTAAAAGTAGGAACTTTTTTGCTTGAAAGCAAGATAGGATAACATTAAAAATCCAATCTTTAAACTTAATTAAACTCTAAACCCATCATAATACATGTTCAAATGAAAGAACATCTTCAGTAGAATTCAACTTTTCAACCTAATTCCAATTACTCAAAAGGAAAAAGGGAGAACCCCAAAAATCAAACAACAGAAACACAACCAGCAAATCAAGAAAGCAAAGACTAGTAAAATCCAAAAAAAATACCCGTTAAAGGAAAAGAAATAGTTGAAGCAACTTCAGATCAGGAAAAATCTCAAACTATATAGAGATCGAACTCGCCAGCTATTTGGAAAATCGTTAATCTCCTCGAAGAGCAATGTTGTTATTATCACTCTGAAAATATCTCTTTCTCCACCGATTCACTTCAGTTGTGTTTTCCGGTCCGAATAAGAATTTTTGAACAATTAATTAATTATTGTAAAAGCTCTTCGTCATATTTATTTTTCTTATTTACACAAGTTTCCCCCATAGTTGAAAGAGTTACAATGTTCTCCCACACTTTTTTTTTTTAATTTGGTGCTTAATATCCATATTGAAACTCGACTAATTCAAATTCGTTTCAAGAGGACTCTATTTCCATAACTTGAAATCTTTCCTTAAAGATGAAATTACTGCCTAGTGATAGTAGGTCATCACTCTTTTTCTATTTTGTTATTTATGCACAATTATTTTGAAATTCAACTATTCCAAATTCGCGTCCAAAGTCTCACTTAAAAGTTAAAGGCATGATATATAAATGTGCCCCTTAACTTGGCTTCATTTCAGATTTATGCCCTTCATCTTTAAATGTACACAAGTAGACACTTAAATTTATATATTTGTCTCTATTTTCAAAATTTGAATTCGAAATTTCTGATTAACAATGAAAGTATCATTGCACCTACTACGCACTCTTTTTCTATTTCTTTATTTATGCATATTAATTTGAAAGTCAACTAATCCAAATTGACATTAGAAAATCTCACTTAAAAGTTTAAAACTACAGATAAGAGACAACTCCATGTCCAAAACTTGAATTCTAAATTTTCGATTAACGATTAAAGTATCATTACACAATCACTCTTTTTTCTATTTATTTGTGCACATTGATTAATTGTCCAAAAAGAAAACATCTTGTGTTCTTTTCTAGTTATATAAAAATCCTACCTTATGCTTGAGAGTGAATAACTTATATGATCACCAAATTATAGAAAATAATCCACTAAAATAGGATCTAAATCTAGATTTCGAGCTTTCCCCAATATACAACAAAACCTTTTGAAATTTATGTAAAAAGAAGTAAATTCAATGTCCTTAAATCTTCTGCTGAATCCATTACGTGAATAATTACAATTGAATGTCAATGTACACAACTCAATATCTATGAATGTGAAGAAGGAACTAATGCTATAACCACTAAACTGATGTTCAGGCCAGCTTGCGTGCATCTTGACTAATTTCACAAGGCATCTACTACCTCCCGTCAACATACTTACCGGGTAACTAGAATACCAAAACTTTGCTAACCTTCCGAGTATTACAAGCTGGAGATCTGATCGGAACCTATGTCTGACCAAAAAGTTGAGTTCCTGCAGTGGACTGAAAATGACTCCGCCAACCCAATAGCGTCTTGTACCCTAAGCCTAGTACCTTGTTGTCCTACAACTACGGATGCAACTTTGGACGCTATGGAACCCATGTTTTTCAAATCGGACACACCCCTCAATATTCCATACAAAATACCTGATGCGTAAGCATCCCCTGCGCCACAGGTATCCACGGGGGTGCATGGTGACGGAGGAATATAGATAGCTTCCCCTTTCACACCAATGTAAGAACCTTTTGGCCCATCTGTGACGGAAACTAAAGGGACGAAATGGCTCAGGTACCTTGTAGCAGAAAGGGGACTTTCATTTGATGAAAAATGACAGAAAGCTTTTGCTTCTTCGCTGTTCGCAAATACTATATCTGCATAATTTGCCATGATTTCCCTGGACGAAAAATGTGGAAAATAGTAAGGATAAATAACGCTGTAATAGTAAAAGAAACAAATTCATGTTCACTCTGTACATGTCTAAGCAACAAAATTTGGTTTTCTGACTCAAGCGTTTATGACAATTTCAATTTACTGCTAGCCACTAGTAGACTTTAGCCTGATCAAAACAGTTCTGTTCAAATCGAGGATCCGAACGCCAAAGTCCAAGTTAAACTAGTCATCCAACCTTTTCTCTTTCTTTCTACTTTTGCTTTATTAGAGTGGGTTTTTTCCCATTTTGTTAGAGGGGGTGGGGGGCATTTTCAGCTTTATTATGCAGAAGCAAGATGGAAAATAAGGTTTTACCAGTAATCATCATAATGTCTCTCAATGCAGGACACATCTGATGCTGTGATGGCAACTAATGCTCCATTCTTGCGGGCTTCCTCGCAGACTTTCGAAATTGTTCGGACTGTATCAGGAAGTTCAAACAAGTATCCTTCCACAACCAATATATTTGTTTTAGTAATTGCCTCTGCCAAGCATGGGTCATAGTTTATCCTTGATGACGTACCCTGATGTCACAACAGGAGCAGAGAAAAACAGTTAAAAAGACATGCTGCAGAAGCGACACCCAAGGTTTTTTGTCCTTGTGGAAAGCAGTAGGTTGCATTTCTTACTGTTACAATAAATTTCTCAGGTACGATTAAAAAGAGATGTTCTATACTATGTTGCTCAGACTCTCCAAAATTGTTGCCACACCCGAGTCAAATTCCAAAATGCAATATTTTTGGAGTATACAACACGCTCGTCAATATTTTTAAAGAGTCTGATATTAGGCCTATGAACTCTATCTTGTTCATATTAGGCTCATAACACCGTATCGTGGCAAAAGTAAAGGCAGCTAAAACAGATGATCTTCGCTGACTTGCAGTAAGAGAACAATGTATATTGCATACAAATCTTCGCTGAGCCACAATAACCCACTATTTATCCCACCAAGGAGAAGACCATGAGAAGAGGGAATTTTCTATTCAGTTTATCTTTTCTTCTCCATTAAAAGAGAATATCACACCTTTTTCTGGCTCCTCTAGTTTGCTTCTTTTCATAAAATGTGTACACTAGCTCAGAGCCAGGCAAAAGGCTTGTTAAACCATTGCTTAAAGTGGTCTACTTACATAACATAGTATCAGCCGAAGTAGTAATGTTAAGGTTCTTCTGAGGTAAAGTCATTACAGGTCAAAAAAGGTTCAATGGGTGAATTGATCAAGAACTATTTCCTTTAAACCATGGATCATCATCTCAAAAAACCAATTGAGCATACTGCAAGTAGATATCCATAGATGATAATAGGGTGACAGGTTTGGAACTCTGGATCGTATGCTATAAGGTCTACAATTATGTCTGGGATAGGGTTACTCTAATCCACTCACACTCAGCACCAAGCTAGTTTTCATTTCAATCCATAAAAGAATAAGCGTGAGTTACTACAGAACATTTACTGACCTGGTATGCTAGCATTGTTCGCTGAGCATCTGAAGTTGTGAGGACTATCACAGTTCCTGTCGTCCCATCCTTCACTGGTGCTGATAAAAAATTCACATTTGCTCGTCGAAGTTTGGATCTATATACAAAGTGATGCAGCTCCTGTCAGAGGTCAGTCTAATTGACGCACTAGGATTAAAACCAATCATTGGACAGTATACAACAAACTCTCTCAAGCTCCCCATTTATTTGTTGGAAGGTTTTAATATTTTTCATATATAAATCATGAGAGTGGACATTCATTCAAAAATCTAGGATGCATAATACCAAAAGACTCTGTTCTCCCGTCAGCTGGTGAAATCTCAGAGAGCCATGTACAACTTCTAGTGAGAATTTTTGCAGTGATCCTACCCCCCACCCGAAGACTGCAGCACCTTCACAATGACACATGGAAAAAAAGAGTGGGAGTGGGGAGATATTTGACTAGTGGGAATCAGCCTAGTGGCAAGGGTCCTCTGCTTCCAATCATACAATTGAGTGTTCCATACACCAATGGAGTAGAAGTAGGAAAAGTTCGAGGGGAAGACTTCACAATATCAATCCCCCCCACCCACCCCCAAAAAACAAAGAATGGGATAAGACTAAAAGAGTTGAACTTTACCTGTAAAATCCACCCAACGGATCACTTCCAATACTACCAGCCAAAGCTACATTCAGAGCAGGACCAGCTATTGACTGACCACCAAGCCTGGCCAAGGCAACCAGACTATTAGAAAGTGATCCACCCGCAGCGGCCTTGTAACTGCATCCGTCCATTGCACTCAGAACTTTACCCCTTTCCTCATGATTGACGACCTTTCTAGTACCCTTCTCTAATCCAAGCCTTTCCAGAAACTCATTGTCAACCATTCCAGAAAAATCAACCTGCATAATCACCAAAGAACATCACCACATGAAAGAAGCTAGTACTATAACAAAGAAATATCTGACTATTGTCTAAACAATGTGAAACTTCGGTAAGAACGATGACAAACCAAATAAAGCAAAACAGGAAAGTTAATGCCAGATAGGACAGTGTGATGCATCCTTCCATAATGTAATTCATGAAAGAGAAGATTTGGAAAAACATAAGATAAGAAGACAAAAGGATTATACATAAATCTCACTTATTCTGTATTAGAAATACATCTAAATATAGCTTTAAGGTATTTCAACAACTAAGTGAAAGCAAAACACTATCTATAAGGGAGTAAAAAGCACAGCAATCCTTCAACGTCCTAAAAAGACCCATATGAACTTATATACAAACTTGTTTTCCGGATTCTCCCTTACAATGTAAGAACACCTTAATATGGGATTAATCAATCCCCCCATCATTCACTGTTTGTCATAAAGGGATTACAGAACTGCTCCATTTCATGTATAAGTATAAAACAACACATTCCCTCCGTTATTCGTCTTACTTTGCTTTTCAGTCCATTTAAAAAAGAATGGTTCTTTACTCTCTTTTGGCAATTCTGGTACATTCCACAAGATGTGCTAACTCAAAACTAGACAATCAAATTAAAAACGGAGGGAGTACATTCTAACAGTTGAGCATCCTCTAAAACATTCCTACTAACAATAAGTACAAAATGAAAAAGGGGGTGCAAGGGAATTTACCATAGCTTGGCCAAGACCCAAAACATCCCATCTTTGAGGAAGATCAGAATTCGAATAACCCACATCTTCCTCATCAACAATCAACACTTGGTCTTCATCGTCAGTCTCAGCCCCTTGTTCATCATTTTCACCTGACCCAACCTCCGAGCTTTCCCCATCAGAATTTCTACCAGAAGCGGAAAATTCAGATTCAAAGGAAGACGAAAAAGCCCTCGGAACCACATAATCGGCAGCCGACATAGAACAACCCGAAGAAACGAAAGAACACGAACTGGAACCGAAATTTCTATAG